GGAAGGCTTTGATGACAGTCCAAGGTACTGAGTTGCTGCTGTCCACTTCCTATCATCCTCAAACTGATGGACAAACAGAGGTGGTTAATAGGTGTTTGGAGGCCTACTTAAGGTGTATGTGCAGTGAACACCCAAAGGAGTGGAGTAGCTGGCTACCTTTGGCTGAATGGTGGTACAATACCTCCTTTCACTCATCCATTCAGATGACACCCTATGAAGTGGTATATAGTCAACCGCCCCCCATCCATCTTCCATATCTTCCCGGTGAAACAAAAGTGGAGGCTGTGGATAGGTCCTTACAAAGAAGGGAATCCTTGATACAGATGCTGAAATTTCAACTGTTAAGAGCTCAAAATAGGATGAAGGTGCAGGCTGACAAGCACAGATCTGAGAGGCACTTTGAAGTGGGGGATTGGGTATGGCTTAAGCTACAACCATATAGACAACAGACAGTGCAAGCAAGGTCTAACCAAAAATTAGCTCCCAAATTTTATGGTCCATTTCAAATACTGACCAAGGTGGGTTCAGTAGCATACAGGCTACAACTGCCCCCATCAGCTCAAGTCCACCACACTTACCATGTATCTCAACTCAAAGCATTTAAGGGAGTCCTGCCAAAACAACCACATATACCAGGATGGCTACAGGGAAGAAATGTTGGAGAAGTTCTTAAACCTGCAGCAATTTTAGAAAGAAGGATGATCAAGCAAGGTGGCAGAGCTGTTGTCCAATACCTAGTGCAATGGGAAGGGCAGAATGTAGAGGATGCATCCTGGAGGGATTCCAAGGACATGGAGCGGAGGTTTCCTGAATTTTTCTGTTAATTGTGCAGTGTAATGTCAATTTGGTTGTAAATAATTGAATAAAGGCCCTTCTCTTTAAGGGGGAAGGAATGATACAGGCGTTGCCTTGCCACGTGTGTGTGGTGGTTAGATACGGTTAGATGGCGGTTGAGTTTGTTAGACGGTTAGCTAAGCTCGGGGGGCTTAGGGCCTTTATATACTTGTATTCAAGCTGTGGTTGGAATAAGAAGACATTTAATCTCATTTCACATAACTTCTCTCTCTCTCTTCTCTCACATTTTGATCAAGACTTCAATCCCTGGTCTTTAACGTTCATCCTCGAGGATTCTTCTCCATCTCTGAATCCTCCTGCATTGGACTTTATCAGGAGTTTAGAGAAATTGATCGATATGATGTCATGAATTTACACAATTTGAGATTATGGAGTATAATTTGGGAGAGGGTTGGAGACTTGGAGGTCGTGAGGGGGCGATCAAGGACAGGAGTGGAGCTTTATGAAGGATAAGTGCCCCAATTTATATGATATTTGGAATTATGTCGTGAGGAGGCATTACTGGATGAAAAAAATCAAATTTGAAGATGTTTTTGTGTTTATATAATGCAATCAAATTTTATATTTTTATTTCTTTACTTTTAATGCTAATTTAATAGAACAATACTATATTCATTTGAAAAATCGAAATGAAAATAACCAATCCTTCCTCAATCTCAAAATGAAGTACTTTTTAAACCAAGACAAAATGCGGTGATTTTTAAAATGATTTTATTTTGAAATTAGTATAGAAATAAAAAAGTATGAAGATACACTTATTAAGGTACATTAAAAACTACATTAAAAATTATACAAAAACAAGCTAAGATGTGACAACAATATTTTATTGTACCAAATGATCATCAATAAAATATGTAAACAAACAAAAGTTATATATCGAAAAACTGTAATGTTAAAGTGAAAAAATCATTTTGTATTTTTTATTGATTATTTGATAAACTGACATATTTTTATCCTCCTTGTTTTATACTTTCTCCGTCCTACAAAACATTACCCATTTTGAATAGTATTTGGTCAAAAAATTACACAGTTTGACAACAAATTGTGAGAAAATATATTGAATTATAATATAAATTTAATATAATTGGAATCATCTTAGGATCTAGTTTTGATATATTAAATTTTTATAACATTTAATTTATTTATTTAGATTATATTTAATTTATGGTCAAAACGTGTAAATGTTTGACTAAAAATACATTAAAATGGGTAATGTTTTGTGGGATGGAGTGAGTAGAAGTTAGACTTGGCAAAACTGACCCGAACCCGATAACCCGGAATCGAACCTGATTTGACCCGAAAATTGAAGAACCGAAATAGAACCGAACACTTGGAATGATCCGAACCGAACTAAACCCGAACCGAATGTATTCCGACCTGATTCAGATCTGAATCCGATTTAACCCGAACCCGGTTAAACTTGAAACCGATTAGACCCGAAAATTGATTAAATTTTATGTACGTCCGTGTTAAATAATAAAATGACCACGGAGTATATCATAAATTGATTAAATTTATTATGTGATATTATTGATTTATTAGTATATATTTAAAATATATCTGAACTAATATAAACCTAGATCGATACAAACCCAAATCGATATAAACTCGAACCGATACAACCCCAAATCGATATAAACCCGATCTGATACAAACCCGAACCGATACAAACCTGAACCGAAACCGAAAACCAGTCAAACTGAAATAAACCCAGAACCGAACTTATCCAAACCAAACCGACCCAAACCGATTATAACATATATCCGAATAAGACCCGAACCGGAACCAAATCGATTGATCTGATTGCCTTGGTCTGGTAGAACCTATAATGACATGATTTTTATGTATGTAAATTTTATTATTTATTTCTATACCAATTGTTAAATAAAATAAATTTTAAAAAACTAGAAATTTTTACGTGATCTGGCATTCTCTTTTAGAGCAAGGGAGTAAAAAAAACATTGTAGTCCGTAAATCAAAAACTACTTACTTCATGGCCGGCGCCGTCGCCGGCGGTGGAATCTCTTCGAACGGTTTTTCTCCCAAAATGATGGAGGGAAGAAGCCCGGAGAAGGTCCCGTTCAAGTGTTCGTCTGATCGGAATAGTTCCTTCCGGGCATGATTCCCCAGACGACGACCTCCACACCTGGAAATCCTCCTCCTCGTATCCGGCCGCCGTCGTGGGGTGGTGCCGCCGGCGCTTCGGCCTCTCCGGCGGTTCCAATGGCTTTTGTCCCTTTAACAAGGGATGATCGAACGCCGGTTGTTTGTCGGATTCCACGCAATCTATAATGTCTCCATCCGAACTCTGCATCATATCATCACCCCATTCATATCATATCATTTACTTGAAACTTATTTTCAATTTAATTTATTTCATTATAAATATAAAACTTAGAAATAAAATTTATTCCATATATATTACGGAGTATAAAATAGTTGACACTCATTATTTTGTAATTGGGGAGAACAATTCAATCTCTGCTATTTGGTCGTAGCACAAAAATATATAGATTTAAAATTGGTAATGCCAAAAACTAATTGAAATTGGAGAAATCAATTTCATCTAAATCAATTTCACAGAACTTTAACTCTCAATTCAATTTCAATTTTGTCAATTCCGTGTATCAAACGGACCCTAAGGCCCCGTTTGGTACACAGAAATCAAATTATGGAATTAGAATTGATGACTTTAATTTCAATTCTGGTAGCACAAATATTATGTGAATTTAAAATTGATAGTGCAAAAAATGAATTGAAATTGGTGAATTAAATTCGATGGTATTGAAGGCCATAAAATTTCAATTCCAATTCATCAATTCCGTATACCAAACGGACCCTAAGATTTCATGTTAGTATTATAAACCTACATGAGACAATCATTCAGACTTCCAAATATCCCAAATTATCATTTTATAAATGAACACATTAAATAATTGTTTTCCATGATGTTAATTTGTTGATAATTTTTATAAATGAAAGCAAAATTGATTAACTTCTACTTAGACATTGTTTGGAAACAATATTTTTTTTATTGACGATGGCGTTTTTGGGGAAAAAAGTTTAATGGTGCAAATTTAGTTTGAAAACGCAAAGCTAAATGATACATGCATATATTTACCTGCACAGATTTGACATAAGGCTTATTGAGCTTGGCGAGATGAGCTCTCATCATCTTCATCTTCTCCGACTCTTCCCCGGGCCACAAAGCCCGGCTCGACCGGTTGGAGTTTTCGGGGTCCGGTCGTGCAGACCGGACCGGACAAACACCAATGACCATAAAGAGAAAGCAGAGAATAAGAGAAATTATGGGCTTGGAAGAAGATGAGATCTTGGGGTTGAACAATTGGGAAGCCATTTTCTTTTTCTTTAAATTTCTTTGGTGTTTTTTTGCTTTGTTAGTTATTCTTTGCTTCTTCTCATTCTAAAATCTAAACCTGCAGACTTATGCTTTTGACACACATATATATATTTATATACTATATGGAAGCTGTCTCTTCTGAGTTGTGATTCCCAAAAAGAAGAAGCTAAGAAGGAATAATTGTCTGGATGTAAAAGACAACAGTATATATAGAATAATACTTCTATTTGGATTTGGTCATAAAACAATATATGCTAAATGAGAATCATTAAAATATACGTGGAAATTAAGCAATATTTCCTACGGTACCCCTCTGTCTAGGAAAGATGTTCGTGTTTCATTTTTTTATGCATCTTATAAAATACTTTTACGTGCATCTGTAATGTCTAAAACTCGCTCTATTTCTCATTTATTGCGATATAAATAGTTTTAGGGATGTTTTAGATATTTCATAGTGAAAAAGACGGTTTATGGGAAGCACGGAAAATAAAAAAAGGAACATTTTTTGGGGACGGACCAAGGAGGGAGTATGACTAGCTTCTTTTTAAACAGTGGGTAAAGCATATATACTCTATAGTCTCCAAATTGAGTTCCTTAGCTCCCCTGCCCCTCTCTACTTTTTAACTTTTTTATTTAAGAGAGAAATGAGACAACTAGTTGACAAGATGCGTGTTTGATTAAGATCTTCCAGTTGGATTTAGTTGGATTGGTTCTTTGATATGGTAGCAAATAAAGTGATTAAGAAGTCACGGATTTGAACTTTTCAGTTTTAAAGAAAATTAAAGTTACTCAGTTTAAAGAAAATTAAGGTTTCTTGTGCAAGTTTCGAAGCGATTACTCTTAGACGTAAGGGAAGTGTTATAAAAACTCTTCTTGAGTATATAATTAGAGGATTAAGTTTTTGGTTGAGATCTTCCTTGACAATGTATACTCTCACTTCTCATTAGTCACCTCATAATTAAAGATTGAATTGTTAATATATGTTGAATCCGTTTCTGCGTAATTTATCTCCAAACTTTTAATACGGAGTAGAATTTATATTTTTCTATCAAACTTTCAAAAATGTACCATATTATTTTTCTAAGCTTTTCATAAATTGTGTGCTTTACCCTTAAACTCTTCATAAAGTGTATATTTTTCCTCCGAATTTTCAAAAGTACACCATTAGTCCCTATATCTTTCATAAAATACGTGCTTCCCCCATCAAAGTTTCAAAATTGCTCCATTGGTCATATTTTTTTATAAAAATAGTGCATATATTATATGCTTGAAACCCCAAAGAAAATCTTGGTTGAACATCTTTAATCAAACATGGATAAAAAGAAGAGAAATTTACCTAAATAGGACTAAAACATAATGACTTTCCCAATATAGGACCTTATGTTTTTATTTCCCAATGTAGGACCTTTGGTCATTATCAAGTAGTCATTATTCAACTAAATTTCCATCATTACTGGAGATTATTCCTTCCACTAGGTCATTAATAAGTCCTATTTAGGGAATAAAAAAGTTTAAGTCCTACATTAGGAAAGTCATTATGTTTTAGTCCTATTTAGTGCAAATTTCACTAAAAAGAAAATAGTGTTTGTCAAAGTACTCTCACCCTTCAGTTGACACACCTATTAGAGTTTGATGAAGAAGTTCGGTGATTAGATTACTTTTTTCGAAGTGTGGTTAAATATGCTATTCAACAAAAACAAATTCTTGAAAGTTGAAATCCAACTGTGTAGAGTTTAATTCTTGAAAAAAAAACAAGTTCATAAATGGGAAAAAGACTGAAGTAAGAGTGAAATATTAAAACTATACCGAAATAGGAATTTCATGTTTTTATTGATGGGAGTTAAAATGCATTTATATTATCAATCATGATCATGTGCATTACGTAAATTACATATATACAGTGTCACATAATCACAATGTGAGCTGCTATTTAGGAAAAAAACATGAAACTTCTATTTTAATATTTTCTTTATGTTTTAGTCCTATTTAGGATGATTTTTTTCCCATAAATTTCTACTTTCTCTCTTAGATAGTTAGATATGGAATAAATATGGGACTCTTTTATTCTTCTCTCTTCTAAATATATACCCCGTAATAAATCTCAATCACTTATCTTTCATTTTTCATCAGGCATTTTTTAATTTCTATATTTTTTTAAAACTCCGTAAAACAAAACAACAAATTTTACTCTCTTTGTTCTTAAATGGATCACACACTGCATTGTTCTAAAATTACGATAACTTAAATTTATTTGTATATTTTTTCATTGATAACTTAATAAATTTTTAACATAGTTTTTAAATATACAAAATTTTTATATTTTATATTTTCTTTTGTCTTTCATGCAATTCTTTTAGTGAGAGACGAAGTATTTTATGAGTAAGCCACATATATTGGGTCAAAATTTTGGACACGGGTCAAAGTCCACTACTTCATTGTGTCCCACCAGTCATAAAGTGGGCCCATGTTTGGGAAGAGGAGTATTAAGGATAATAAAGTCCATTTCTTTATGGAGATTTATTTGACAAAATATTTTGGCCGGCCAAGGCTCCCAATTCATGATTGTGCCGCGCTTTGCCGGATATTGGGTCCATTAAAAGACATCAAAGCAAAGCTTTTTGGGTTCAAAGAGTACTACGAGTTGACCCTCTTTGACGAGTGTAGTTCAAGACTGCTTCCTCAATTGTCCACTTTAGTTTTCTTCACTTAATTTAATTTGATTTGATCTGAATCTTTTAAGATAAATCTAACTTGACCTGAATGAATCTGATTTGATCTAAGATGAATGGATCTAATCAGATCTGACCAAATCTGAATATATCTTATCAGATCTGATCTGAATGGATCTGATATGAATATATATATATGATCTGATTAGAATAAATGTTATTCAAATTCCAATTCAAACAATAATAATAATTTTCATTATTATTGTTAGTATTATTATTACTAATCTATGAATTTGCTCAAAAAAACATAATAATAGAAACAAAAATTATTACTATTATTAGTACTTTTATCAGTATTTCTATAATTATTACTATTACAATATTATTATTAATGTAACATTATTTATTTTTTAATACTTTTCCAAATTTGATCTGAATAGATCTGATCTGATCTAATCTGAAAAAATATGGTCTTATTTGATCCATTCAGAACGAATCTCATCTGATCTGGTCTGATTCTAATAAGAATAAGTGATAAGTAGCAGAAACAAATTAAAGAGAACAAGGCCTTAATCATTAATTAAAGGGAGAAATACCGTCATAATACTAGTATATGCTTAAAATACCCAATATAGCACTGCTATGAGATATCGAAACTCATGTGGATGCAATTCCAAATTTGTCCTTGCATTGCACACTGCCAAAAAATGTGTTTAAGTTGGTATACACTTCCAGAACATGAGCATAACACATTGCCGTCATAACCAATATAACATTTACACACACTGCCAAAGCATGATCATTCGACACTGCTAAAAAATATGTTTAAGTTGGTATATACTCCAGAACATGGACATAATACACTGTCATAAAGTATAGTTAAGCATTGTGACCATAAAATATTGCCCAAACATGGCCATAACACACTGCAGAAAGTGTAGGTATAACGTGACCATTCCACACTCCCAAAAAAGTTGGTATACACATACAAAATATAACGGTATAATTAGAAGAGATCCACGCCACAAATATTCAAATATGTGAAAAACAATAAGGAGTGCTAGCTATATGTGTAATATTGGGTGTCTTAGAGTGCTACATAAGGCGAATTCTATTAATTAAATAGGTATTATACAAAGTATGATATATTAATATAAAATTAATTTTAAAAGATCTCTCTTGTGAATAAATTTTAAAACATTATTTGATTTCCTTATGCATTGTACTCTTTTCCTCCCAATTTAAGTTATTTTTCTATTCCTTATTCATATATCACCCTTTAACAACATTTGCTTATTTTTCTATTCCTTATTCATATATCACCCTTTAACAACATTTGCTTATTTTGTTACTAATTTGATAAAATAATATAATCATATTATTTTTTCATTCGTAAAACTTTTGTTGTAGTTTTAAAATATACTCTTTTTGTCTTAATAAATTGTTTGTTTACCATTCACAAGGTCAAATCTTAATCATTTTCTTTACTCTATTTCGTTACTCAAGTGATAAAATAATTTAGTCATTTCACTTCTTGCTTGTTCTGTGCATCTTTTTATATAGTTTTTAAATATATAAATTTTATATTTTAATTCCATAGAAACTTTTAAATAAGTTGAATTAAAAATAACTTCAGTCAAATATTGTAAACAACAACGAGGAACTTAAAATGAGATGCAGGGAGTATAGTTTTAGTTTTTCATTTCAGACTAATTTTATTTAAACTCAATTGAGAGTACTTTGAGTTAAACATATAGTAAAGCGAAATGAGTAACTTAAATTCGAACAAATGGAGTAACTTTTATGTACTTGAATAAATTTTTGGGAGGGGGGTAACATTTAGTATGAGTATTGTTCACCAGTTGAATATTATCCAATTTAGTTTAATTTCATTCAATCCAATTAATGGTTACTTCAAAATAACTCTACAATCAATCGTTCTTTGATAAGTGATAATAAACACTCCTTTGTGTTCTTGAGCTTCTAAATAGTTATAAATCTTTAATGGGACATAAGTCATAACACACACAAAATATGTTGAGGCTGCTCTTGAACACTTGCATAGCTTTTCAAAAAGGATGGTGTCAAAACGGTTAAATTACTCCTTACATGTTTATGGGTGGAAATAGCGTTTTCAATTAGTGTTAGCGTTTTCGATAAGATTTTAATGGTGTAGATTAATTTTGAATATACTACCCGTAGATAGTCTTTTTAAAATGTTAACGCTAATCTCTAACGCTATTTACAAAAAGGTTCCTATGCCTACTCTAAATGTTTGAATAAATGTTTTTGTTAACAGTTAAAGGTATATATGGAGTATTTAGTAAGATGTGTTTGAATATTTATAAGATGGATGAGGTTTGGTTAAACCATTGGTGTATTTTGTGATTGGGTGATTAAAATTATGTAGGATGGTTTCCAAAAGAGGATGTGTTGGACTATTTTTTTTTTCTTTTTTTATTGTATAAAATGTCGTTGACCCAAAAAAAACTCCAAAAAGCTTGAAAGACACTTTTTTGTTACCTTGTGTTCTAGACTAAAATTCACAGAAAAAAAACTAGTATTTGACCATAGATTGGGAGGTTTAGGAGGGGTTTGATAGGGTAAAGACTGCTTCAAGTTTAAATGGAGCATTGTAGAACCCCCAAATGAACCGAAGGCCCGCATGGGTAGTTCAACTGGTCCAAGGAGAGGATGTCAAACTCGTTGATCCTATGGTCGAATCTCGACAGCGGCTGTGTGAGAGTTCTATTATTTGTAATAACTGTTTGTGTGCACCAAATATGGGGCGACTTCTCTAAGCACCAGATTGAGATTATACCACAATTTATCCCTTCACAATTCTGCCGAACCCGGGTGTGGGAGCGTCTAGAGTGGGCTTTCCACCCAAATGAACCAAATGTGATAATACGACGTCCAAATCCAATGTCAACAAAATTTGAGTCAACTACAAGCAAACATCTCATTTACCTTAAATAATTCCTGTTAACCCAAATCCATCTATAATCGCAATGCTAAGCACCCGTATAATACGGAGTAATTTGTAAGGTGAATTTACCTAAATCGTATTAAAACATAATAACTTTTCCAATGTATTACCATATGTTTTTATTTTCCAATGTAGTACCACTAATCATTGTTTATCGGTCATTGTTCAAATAAATGTCCATCACAATGGACATTATTCAAACCAAATGTCCACTATCACTGAACATTGTTTCCGACACTAAACATTGTTCATATGTAGGTCCATGATGGACCTTAGGTAAATTTGCCAATATATGTGGAGTATTTAGTAAGATGTGTTTGAGTATTTATACGATGGTTAAGGTTTGGTTAAACAATTGATGTATTTTGTGATTAGGTGATGAATATTTTGTACGGTGGTTTCCAAAAAAAAAGATGTGTTTGAGATCAGAAAATTAATGCACCATACAGATTCTCATATATAACCAAACCACAGGCACACAGTACTGTACAACTCTTACAATTTTAATTGTAGAAAGAAAGAAAAAAAAAGAGATGTAGACTTTTATAATGTGGTCTTAGCTGTGGGCATATGAAATTGTTTGTTGCATTACAAACAAAAGTGTACCTTTTTTTTCAACAAGAAATGCAAGCCCATGTTAACAACCTTAATGTTATTGCAGTTGCACACAGCACGAGTGTTGTTGAGTGGGGAGATCACATCTGAGGTCTTGTCTGAACAACATAAACCTGTCCATCCTTCACAACACCTTCAATGTCTTGAGCACATCCACACAGCTCCTCAATCACACTCCCAGCACTCGCAATTTTAGAGAGCACCGATTGGCGGAAATCAACATCCATTATCAATGGATCGTCGGTGTAATCGAGTACGACTCTCTCCGGTTCATCAATTGGCACGCTGCAGAAGACGCATGTTGAGAAAAGATCAGCACAAAGATAATTCCCTACTCTAACGTACCGGTTAGCTGGCTTGCCAGGCAAGGCTTTTGTTAGAAAATAAAATATTTTCCTGAGTCTGGCTGCGTTCCATTCGCCTAATCTAATACGGAGTATGATTTTTTAAAGATCTAGTCTGATCTGATTAGATCCGATCTGGTCTGATCCGATTGTAGTTATATTTAAAACTGTTTCTGATCTGGTCTGATCTGACAACACTTTCGTTACCACGATTGGGTGAGTCCCACACATTTTCATTTTTGTACTAAAACATCAACCTATGGCACCAGTGCACCACACATTAGGGGTTGGTAGAATAATTCATTCGTACAAAAAAATTATAGTGAAAAGTTTATACCACTACTGCTACAACAACCCAGTATAATCTCAATTTTGTTGTGATTTGGGAGTCAAGATGTACACAGTCTTACTATTGTTAAAACAAAGAAGTTTCAGTTAAAATTTTTACATAAAAAAACATTTTTAGCAAACTTGGGGCTCGGAGAGGGGTTGACCTTCATCGCATTGTTATTTTTTTAAGTTTACCACCTCAATCTAAACGGAGCATAATTATGTATTTAGCATTGAAGTGTCTCTTTCTACTTCCTCAAATGAGTTGTAGTTTTAATCAAAGTCTTTTATCCCAAAATAATAATCGTTGTAGGAAAATCATGTGAATTATTTCATAATCTTCCAAATAAGTCCATACTAACTTTTCATGCATTTAATGCTCTTATACCTTGTCCTATCACTTTTAAAAAAAGCTTTGTACCTTGTCAACAATGAAATCCATTGAGTGTTAGACTTCAACAAGCATAGAAGAGTCATCTTGCAAGATGGAGTTTAACAACCACACCCACTAGAAATACTTTTTCAACTCACTACTCCAAACACGCCATAGAAACAAAAGGGTCCAATCCCAGATAAAATGAGTATGAGGCCCTTACCTATCATAAAGCCCTGCCCCAGCATAACCTTCTAAATCTTCACCATTTGAGTCTGAGCGGAAGATAATAGATGATGACCTTATGAAAAGTCCAGTGGCTTTGCTTGGGTAGCCTAGCACCTGAAATTATTCAGAGTTGAGTTCTCCCAATCATACACACCTCAAATTGGCATAGACGAATAGTATTAACTAAATTTATAAAGTTAATTTGGATTATGATGATGACTTTGGTGCCTTTCTTATCTATTGGAATTTGGAACAGGTTGAAATCAATATAAAAAACATATACTTGTACTACGTAGTATTTTAGTCTCGAGAAGATCAAAAGGGCCAACAGATTACCTGAGGAGAGCTGAGGTCATTCTTTTTGCAGGTAAAACTCATGGCACGGCCTGGGTAAGCCCCAACCAACGTTTCACCTAGGCCTTTGACAACCTATCCAAGCCGTTGGCGACATGTAATTAAAAATATCGAAATGGTTAATGACTATAGTCTGTATAAATCCAAAAGATTATCTTCAAGTAATTCCAGTCACAAGTCAATAACAATTGGTAATGGGTCATTACAAAAGTCAGTGACTTCAATGATGGGCCATCTCTAAAGATAATGGCATAACATGTATGTCAAAGTAGCATTAAGGTAATACTTCATTGTGGACATGATTTAAAATCTTCTATGATATACTAGTTTTAAAAAAGGAGCTGAAGCTGGAAGTCAAAATATAATTGTATGGATTATAAATAATAAAAAAAGCTTATTTTATGATCACACACAGCTTTTCCAAATCGTAGTTGGGATATGTTCTTAATGTGTGTTATTCTTAAAATTCTTTATGTTCTCAATGCCTTTTACTATCACTCTTTTAATTTTAGTTAGCAATCTAAGGAGGGGGTCCTCAACATGGAATTTAGAACACATTTAATCCAATGATTCATGAATTTGATGGATTTTAGATAAATGTTACAAGTTTCATGAGATTCCAATGGGATTATTTGGATTAATAATGGGGTTTCATTGGATATACTAATGTATGCCATAGAACCTTCCATTATATCAAGTTAGTAACAATGTAAATATGTGGTTGAGAAGTTCTATCATGGACCTTCTCTCACACATTCTTTTTATTCATTTATTTTAAAAATTATTAAAAAAAGCTTATCTCAGTAGTAAGCAAATGCTCATTTGGCATATATAAAGGTCCACTAGAGACCTTATATTCGTGGAAACTTTACCAAAATTTTAATGTGAGTATGTGACATTCTAATGAATCGTATTATATTAAGTATGAGAAACATAGTACAAAGTAGTTAAATTAAAATAACAATAATTAGATTATTGTTATACTTATCCGCCAAATTTAGATGAACTTGAACAACTTCAATGATTTTGATTTGTCAACATGCTATAGCCAATAATGTGTTGCTAGATGAAGCATTAGTTAGTGGTTAAGCCTCTAACATTGAAAATAAAATGCTAACAAAAAAGGCATCACTAGTGGAAGCATTCGTTGAGTAAACACATTGAATTTTATATCTTTCCTTCGCTAACCTTTAATAATTAATATTTTAATAAATTATTATCAAACTAGATACTCTTTAAATACAACAAAGTCAATAATAACAATGGCAATGAAGGTAGAACTTGCATTGGGAGATTTCAAATTCAGACATTAATTGCTCCACATGTATTTTATTTGATGAGTCGAAAAACAAGTTGATATTGCATTACCTCAGCATATATCTCAGATGAATCTCCAGAGGATGGGTTAGTTGTATGGATAACAAATGCATAGTCCGCATTTATTATCTCTTGAACAAGTACAGCCATACAAAGACAATCATGGTCTATTTTCACTTTTCTTGTGCTAAGATATGCTCTCTCATTCCACTTTGAAGCCCACACCTGCAAGATAGTCACGGACCAAAATGCTCATCTCATGAACCAGCTGAAACATCAGGAAGCCAAAGAGTCATATGGACTAATAAAGGGCTAGGAGATGAGCAAAAACTGAAATCTGAAAAAACAAAAAAATCCCTCCGAATATCCATTTGCAAGGAACTATATCGCCACTAAATAATGATGGTACATTTTGTTATATATTTATGATGCAATTCAAATGACAGAAATATCCCTCCCAACATCCTTACGCAAGGGGCTACTTTACCATTAATAATAAATGGTACATTTTGTTATAATGTACTCCCTCCATCCTACTGGATTTTACAACTTGGGCGGAAACACATAATGAGGAGAACAGTTCTTTTTTTAAAGGACAGTTAAGTCCTCGTAATGAAAATGTACTACTAAAATGGGTAAAAATGATTTTGGAATAGAGAGTAGAGTGATCTTTTATGCTTATGTCATGACCTAAAAAGGAAAGTGGAAGGACAGCCAAATATAGAATGTTGGAAAATACAACCATGACCGGGAGGGAGTACCTTTTTTATTGCGGTCCAAGCTTGTTCCCACCTCTTAAGACTTTCATCACCAGGCCACGGCATACATGACCTTTGCATCTTGTCTTTGAGTTCATTGACCTGAAATGTGACCACAACAGCTTGCAAGCTAAGACCCAGAGCAAAGGAAGCTAACATCTACAATTAGTAGTTAAGGAATATATGCTACTCCCTCCATCCCTTGAAGTTCTTCCCTTATTGACTTTTTGAGAATTTAGAGTGATATTTTTGTGTTGACTTTCCAAAAGTACCCTTGATGTGATGGGTAACAGTAGGATGTGATAGATATATTATTAGTAAAAAGGCATGATGTGATAGGTGGGGTAGGAATTAGTACGGGTAAAAGTGGTTTTTTAATAGAAAAGGGAAGGAGTTTGTGGGACAAGAAAAAAAAGAAAGGAGAAATAGTTTAAGGGACGGAGGGAGTAGTATTTGGCTCCTCAACCCAAACATACATGTAAATATTCAATTACATCCAGCACACATCTTCATCAAAGTGTGTAAATCATTAGCAAGAAGTAATAAAAGGAAGGAGATAAGCGCAAAATATGGAGCGCCCTATATAATATAAAAGCCAGCGTACTCACAGAATACATACCAAAGAAACTAATGTGATACGTATAATGGATGATAAAGATAACAGTACCAGTTCAGATGGGGCAGAAAGTTCTAAAACTGTTTTTCTGATTTCAGAAAGGACACTGAACTCTCCTGCAGACAATCTTTTCTTGAGAGCAAGCACTTTTTCTGCCACACCCTGCTAAATTTAAATATAAAAAAAATAAATAATAAACATCACAATACAAGAAACGAAAAGAGATTAAAGTCTAATACTGCTTTGGATGAAGATAGAAGCAAAACAACATGTTCTTACCCTCGTGTTTCGGTTATACCTGTTTCCTCAAACACTTACGATTGCCCGATTAAGAATTGACAAACAATTTAGTTCCATCTTCTTCAGAGTTAGCTCAAAACGTTGCAGCAGCAGCATGTACTGTGTAGCAGCAAGGTCTATGGTATTCATCTATAAACCAAGCCAAAAACATGCCCAGCATACCCCCCTCAGAAGTGGT